AGGCTTTTGTTCATTAAGCAGTTTTGTTGATTAAGCAGTATTGTTCCAGAAAGGCCTCATTATTTTACTCTTAGTGGCAGCATGGTCAACCAAAGCAGGAAGCTGGAAAACATCATCTGACTCCTCACCAATTAGTATAAAGGTAAAAAGTAGAGGACCCCTGGACGGTTAAGTCCAGTCAAAGGTGACTATAGGGTTGCAGTGCTCATCTTGCTTCAGGCCGAGGGAGCCAGCGTTTGTCCACAGACAGCTTTTCTGGGTCATGTGGCCAGCATGACTAAACTGCTACTAGCACACGGAGGACCGTGATGAGTGCCAAAGTGCATGGAAATGGAGTTTACCTTCCCACCACAGCAGTACCTATTTATTTACTTGCACTGGTGTGCTTTCGAACTGCTAGGTTGGCAGAAGCTGGGACAGAGCAATGGGAACTCACCCTGTTGTGGGGATTTGAACCGCCAACCTTCTAATCAGCAAGCCCAAGAGTGGTTTAGACCACAGTGCCACCTGTGTCCCTAACCAATTAGTATAGGTGTAGTTAGCTCTTATGAAAAGGTGAACACATGATCTACACAGGGCTAAAGGTCAAGTCTTATATGTATCATATAGTGTGATTTCCATTTTTATCCTTTACTAATAAATACTTCAGCACAGGGCATGCAACTCTCTGGGACTCAACATGGGTTTTGGAGGGGATGCATTAGATGGTTAAGAACTTAATTTGTTCTGGAGGTCTGTTCTTAACCTGAAACTGTTCTTAACCTGAGGTACCACTTTAGCTAATGGGGCCTCCTGCTGCCGCTGTGCCGGCACCACACAATTTCTGTTCTCATCCTGAAGCAAAGTTCTTAACCCGAGGTATTATTGCTGGGTTAGCAGAGTCTGTAACCTGAAGCGTCTGTAACCCGGGGTACCACTGTATTCCTAAAATGTATTGATATACAGTGGCACCTCTGGATAAGCACACCTCCGATTGTGTATCCTTCAGAATGCGAACACAGCAAACTCAGAAGTATTTTTCTGGGTTTCGCCGCACGCGCATGCACAGAGAGCCAGTGTGGTGTAGTGGTTAAGAGTGGTAGTCTCGTAATCTGATAAACCGGGTTCACGTCTCTGCTCCTCCATATGCAACTGCTGGGTGATCTTGGGCTAGTCAGACTTCTCTGAAGTCTCTCAGCCTCACTCACCTCACAGAGTGTTTGTTGTTGGGGAGGAAGGGAAAGGAGAATGTTAGCCGCTTTGAGACTCCTTAGGGTAGTGATAAAGTGGGATATCAAATCCAAACTCCTCCTCCTCCTCCTCCTCCTCCTCCTCCTCCTCCTCCTCCTCCTCCTCTTCTTCTTCTTCTACCATGCCACGCACATGCAAAGAAGCAGTCCCTCCAGTTGCAGAAACCTCAGGATCCGACCGAAGCTCTGGAACGGATCCCGTCCGCAACCGGAGGTACCACTGTACAATGATTGACACAAGGTTGAGTTTGTTCTGCTTTGGTTTGTTCCTTAATGCTCATAATGTGTTTGTATGTGTGTTTGTGGTGTGTATGTGTGTTAAAATGAGCTGTGCTTTCTTGGGCCAGTAATTGCTGCTATAGATTTTAACGGAGCAGGAAGCCCTAATACTTTTCAAACTGCCACTCGGAAATTCATCAGCCCAATGAAGGGTTGCCTTCCTTGACAAGTGGGAATGAAATCCACAAATAGTTTGCCCCAAAAGTGGAATGTATGATATGCCTGTTTAGAAATGGGAGTAAAAGGAGACCAAAGACCAATTTTCAACTTTTTTTTAACGTTGCTGGATCTGTGACACTTTTTATTGGACAGTTTAGAAAGCTGACCCCATCAGATATCTCATGTATGCCTTGTTTCAAGTTAAGAAAAGTGTCATTTCTATAAGCTATGGAATTCGTATAGTTGTGGACTTTCCCCTTTTTGTGACATTTGCCTTAAGTAAATATAACCCTCAGAAGGCCTTGCCTTTTTTTCACCTACTGATCATTTGGTAATAATATAGCACCATCAGTTTCCATTGCACATTAGAAACATATGAAATTGCCTTATTCTAAGCCACACCACTGGCCATCTAGTTCAGATCATCTTCATTGACAATGCTGGCAGCAGATGACTCTCCAGAGGTCAGGGATTGAACTTGGGACCTCCTAGACCTACCACTTACCTCTACTTCCTGCCTTACAGTCCAAATTTTGGTCCGGGGGAGGGGGGGAACCAACAGAAAGCCGACAGAATAGAGAAACATTTTGGGCATTGCATATGTGAAGAGTCAGGATGTGTTCTGCTTTGTGCCTTGAATGAAGTCTGCACCTTACATTTACAGTGCTATCATACGACTTTGTGGTCTAAACCACTGAGCCTAGGGCTTGCCAATCAGATGGTCGGCGGTTCGAATCCCCATGATGGAGTGAGCTCCCGTTGCTCGGTCCCAGCTCCTGCCAACCTAGCAGTTTGAAAGCATGTCAAAGTGCAAGTAGATAAATAGGTACTGCTCCAGCAGGAAGGTAAACGGCGTTTCCACACGCTGCTCTGATTTCTCCAGAAGTGGCTTGGTCATGTTGGCCACATGACCCGGAAAAACTGTCTGCAGACAATTGTCTGCTCCTTCAGCCAGTAAAGCGAGATGAGCGCCGCAACCTCAGAGTCGTCTGCGACTGGACTTAACTGTCAGGAGTCCTTTACCTTTTTTACCATACCCCTTTAACAGTCGTGGCTTCCCCCAAAGAATCCTGGGGAATGTAGTTTCTTAAGGGGGCTGAGAGTTGTTAGGAGACTCCATTCCCCTTCCAGAGCTACAGCTCTCAGAGTGGTTTATCAATCCCTCATCCCAAGGAACTTTGGGAGGGCAGCTCTGTGAGGGGAATAGAGATCTCCCAATATATCTCAGCACCCTTAGCAAATGACACTTCTGAAGATTCTTTGGGGGAAGCCATGACTGTCAAAGCGGTATAATAGTGCTTGAAATGCAATGTGCTGATGTGGCCTTAGTGTTCATGAGCATGCATGAGTCTACATGTGAACTAGAGGTAAGGTGCACCTATGTCTCACCTCCCCACTGTTGCCAAGAGGCTGAACAACGCACACTGACAAAACCCTAGCAAGGCACCCACAAAAGGCAAAGACAAGGCTCAAATTGGGACAGTGATTTACTAGGTACCCAGAAAGAAGGGCTGCCTTGGTAAATATAGACTACTGAGATGTATGCAATTGTCACCTCCTAGGACTGTTGCATTTCTGAATGAGAAAAAAGGCTGCAGCCTGCTATCCATATTATAAATATATATATATGGCAAAACAGTGCAGTATATCATATCTTTATTGCTGTATCCATAATAGACTGGGAAACACATGATTCTTCCTTGCTTCTGCTAAAATCAATGGGGAGACTGTCAGTGTTGACTATCATGGGGCTTCAAACCCAGTCATTTTTCATTAGGCCATAGGAGTGTGATGCATTATAGAAATGCAGCAAGCAAGACCAGTTCAGCCTCTGTTCATGACCTGATTTTGCCTCTACTCGCAAGTAATTATTTCCTCTCCAATGAGATTTATCATGTTTGTCTTCCGAGCCAGTGGGATGTACGATGGGTGTAAGCAGAGGAGACATTTCATATGCTAACACATTACCTCAGAGTAGTTATTTCATTAAACTTTGATAATAACAGCTTGTTGACATGGTTAGCCACTCTGAGGGATGAGAATTCTGCTCTCAAGCAGTGTGGTTGTCCTTTCCATAGCAAGAAGGTGGGTGAGGAAATCACATATGAACAAGAACAGTGCTTTGGGGAGTGTTAAGTCCTCAGTTAACACATGAATATGAGATTTCAGGAAAGCAAAGAGAGTAGAATATTGCAAAGGTAGAGGAACCTGCTTTAAAAAGGGTGCCTTTGGATACATTTGCTTCAGGGATGGGGAACTTGTGGCTCTTCTGATGTTGTTGGACCACGGCTCCCACCTTCTTTGGCTATTGGGCATACTGACCAAGCCTTATGGGAGTTGTAGTTCAACAGCATCTGCAGAGCCACAGGTTCCTGTTCCTGCTCTATTATTCAACAAGGGCCTAAAATGTTGTACCCCGCAATAATCCAAGGCTACCAGTTCTAATATGCATGCATATTAAAAAGACGAAAAACCAAACAAATCTTCAGGCCAGTTTGCACTGTGATTTTCACAAGATATACTATTCAGATTGAAGCCTGGAATGATGCTCCTATAACAGAGCCAAATTTGAGTTAGGGATGATTGCACCTTGAGTGTTTTATGTAGATCAGCAGAATGTGGCACTTCCACTGCTTGGTCCTATTTTTCTGATATCATCTGTCAGTGGAGACACATGAAGGAATTCCACAGATGCTGAACATAGTAATGTGTTTGTTTGTCTATTATTATTTACTTATTTAATGCATGTGTATACTACCTTTCTGCCAAGGTGGTTTACAATTTCTTTATTCTTTAAATACAAAACATATTGTTCACATATTACAATTGTTTGTTTGTTGTGCTTATTTCCCAGTCATCTAACCCATAAAAATGATTAATATAAAAGTGATTGGTCATAATATATAACCGTGTGTGTATCTGCACACTACCCCAATCTCCAAAAGTGGTGAGAGTTTCTGGGGTGCCTACACTTACCCAGGTTTTAGTCTCCTTGGAATGAAGGTCATTGAAGACTCTGTTGCCTTTAGGGTATATGGTTTTATTTACACATATATAACATGAGCACAGGATGGAGGGGCCCACAACGTTAGTACCCCAAAATATCTGGCTTCTGCATTTGTTTTCCAGAGGAGCCCCAAGTCCAGACCAGAGCAGACATGTCTCCATGTCCCCAGCTTCCAGCATCAGCCCAACTTGCTCAAATCCAGCCTTCCATAGACCATTGTTCTTCATTTTAGGATGACATGACATTCAGCCAGGTGAGGTTGGAAAAGGCCTATTTCTCTCTATGGCAATAGAGAAGTAATTAACTAGCCAGCCAAAGACATTGTCTTAACAAAGGAACAGGTTGTGCTGGTTCTGAAGTCTCTCTAACAGAAGAGACTTCAGAACCAGCACAACCTGTTCCTTTGTTAAGAATGCATTGAAGAGACACAGGGTACCATCTCAGATGGACTCCTGCAAACTCATAACACTATATACACACCTATCACTATATAAACATGCATTTGATTATATAAAATGATAATGCTATTATAGTTCCCTCCATGGCTTACTAGAAGCAAATGAAAACATTTTTTGTAATAATTAAGACTTAATCCTTTGTTTACTTTTCATCACAAGATTCCCAATGAAATACATGGTTCAACATTATCTTCTGTTTTATCATTCTAATACATAATAAAAGACTCCACTTTTCAATGTATTTGCCATCAAGCTGTCTTCCTTCTCTTAACTACAATATCCTGGATCTTAATTAGTTATGTCAGGGATGGAGAACCTTTGTCAAACCAGGGCCACATTCCCTCCTGTGAAACCGTCTGGGAGCCACATCCCATTGGTGGGCGAGGTCAGAGGTAAAAATGGGTGAAGCAAGGAATATAGACTCTAGCTATTTCTGGCTCCAAGATAGTCTTCCCCTTTCCGCCTGCCTTTCTCCCTCCCTCCCTCCCTCCCTCCCTCCCTCTCTCTTCTGGGACTCTTCCCACAGGGCAGTTGGTGGTACTTGTTCTAACCATAGAACAATGTTCTTTGAGGCAGACTGATGATGCCTCCAAGAAACTGATGGCACAAACTCCATGGGAAGGGTTGGTTCAGTTCTGCCATCCCCAAAGACACATAGATCTTAAGTAGGGGTGAACGGATCATCCTCTTTCCATTCCATGTCACTTTTTCATGTAAAGAACTATAGACCCATTTTCTATTATTTCTTTTTGCGTTTTTTTAAAAAATGCACAGAAACTTGCATTTAATTTGTGCACATTTCAAATGCATTTTCACATACTCTTCCCCTAAAATATTCATTTTTGTTTCCCTCTTAATGCATTTCCTCCTTATGACACACATTTTTCTATTCATTTTTAATAAAATATGTATTTTGTGTGTTGTTGTTTTTGGGAACTGAAGCTGCATCACTACATTTAAAGAAGTTTGCTGTCAAACTGATAGCTGTGTCCTGATCTGCATGCCAATCCTGAATAGAGCAGATCATTTATAAAAGGAGACCAAATGAATTTCTCCTTCACTCCTAGTTTTCACTGCCCCCAGAGAAGGTGCAGGGGGGCGGGTCTGCCTCAACAATGATTGGGCTGCTGCCAGCCGGTTGCCCAGGAATGTACAAAGACAAGGAATGTTCTTACCGTCTGCTTTTTATTCAATGTTTACAGAGAGAGGCTTTAGAACCCAGCCTCTTGGAAAATGGCGTTGTCCCGAGTGGATCTCCACCCCCTCCATCTCTCCCACATTCTCATTCATCATCCTCATCACATCTACAGGTGCTGACAAATGCCCTCTGCCTTTGAACTCTTTGCTCTCCTACTTTAAATGCTCGCCGACTTCAGGGAGAGGGGACTGAAATGCTTTCTAAAGACACTGTGTCTGCCAGCTATCACCCTCCTGGTGCTTCCTCTTCCTCTTTGTCTCCCAATATTTCCCAGCTTTCCCCCTCATCTGCCTCTGAACTGTGACCTCCCTCAAACTTCCTCTTCTCTGGAAGGGTCAGGTTGGTGAGGCAGTCTCCACCATTCCGCCTCTGCCCAGTCCCTGACAACAATACTCTGAGGCAATGGTGACTGGTGCCTATTGATGTTAGTTGGGTGGAAGTCAGGGAGATCAAGGGCTTATCCACACTCTTTCCAGGCAAGGTCTGCACTTTTAAGCTCCATGTCCAAGCAGTTTTCTTTTTGCCCGGAAGCTTTCCCCATGAAAACCTGCTCTTTAACCCTCAATCGGAGCAAACACCTTCCGTGGAAAACCCAAATTGACATTTGCTCTGATTGAGCGCTAAAGAGCAGATTTCCGTGGGGAAAGCTTCTGGGCAAAAAGAAAACTGATTGGACATGGAGCTTAAAAGCATGGAGCTGTGCTGAAAAGAGCAGGGCAAAAGGTAAGTATGGATAAGCCCCAATGGTAGGTGGAGCCAAGGAGCTAACTAATTCTTGTTTTGCCACCTTTCTTCTCCCTACAAGGGCGACACTGAGACTAACGTGAAGGAAGCTGAGAGGTTGTGCCATACCTTGAGCTGGTTGTAAGGAGGAAGGCAGGCAGCGTGGTAGCTGAATGGGAGCAAACTGTGGTGCTGAGTTCTTAATTCTTTAAGTGTCCAGCCCTGGGTGACAGATCTCAGGATTCCTAGTAAAAAATGAAGTAGACCTCAGAATCTTGAAGTTAATTGATCATTGGCCTACACTACTAAGTGAAATCCTCACACCCTCCACAACCTAATTTCAGGTACCTGAAATCACTTTTCTATATGGAAGCTTTTATATATATATATATATATATATGTGTGTGTGTGTGTGTGTGTGTGTGTGTGTGTATATGCATATTTGCCAGGCAAATGTACGTGAACTTCTCTGTGGACTACTTTTGCAGGTATTTGCAAATTAAGTGAATTCCTCCCCATCCATTAAATTACTATAAACTAAGAATGACACCACAGAGCCTTCCCTCACATCACCGAAATTGGCATTTAGACCAATCTGAACATCTGTGACATATTAAAAATATTATACAAGAGCATTAGCACCTAATAGCCTGTGAGAGCCATTTCTCCCTAGATGATAAATGTGAACTATCAGAGAAACTTACATGCAATGAACTCCAGGAGATATCTGTAGATAGTACAGAATGAGCAATGGGTCTATGGATTACAGCAATGCTGTCATCAATGGCTACATTCTTCACAGCGAGAGCATCTTCAGATGTAGCAGAGAACCATTCCTTTCAGAGCAGGGCAGGTATCTGTCAGGGTTGCTTCAGATAAAGGTTATCTTGAGTGGTTAATATAGGAAGGGGTATGCTGGGTCCAAAATATTTGTTAGGAAGTGCTGAATGGTGGAAAGCAGACACTGCCTGCCATCTCATGAGGTTCCCCTCCCCATGAGTGCTCCAACCAGGGGTTGAGGTATTGAGGTGTAATGGGATGATGATGAACATTCAAACTTCTATGCTCCACAGATTAGCCATATAATTTATTCTATAAATTATATGGAAGGCCAGTTTGCCTGAGGTTAAAAAATGTCCACGTTCATATCCTGGTGTTGACAGGAATATGTTGCAGGTGTGCAGTCAGGTGCTAGAGAGGCAGTGGGCACTCAGGACAGAACTCTGGAGGCAATGCACTTGGAGGAACAAGTAGTGACAGAAGGATAGAGTTGAGTGAAGGAGGTGACAATGAGGCTCGGGGAAAACATCTGCTAAGGTTTAGAGGAGAGGCGGGGATCCTCTGACCTGTGGGCCAGATGTAGTCTGTGAGGCAACCCAATCCAGCTCACAGCTGCCCCTCCTACCTTGCTCTAAAAAGCCTCCTATTGTATCCCTTTGGGATGTTTTTGCCAAACCTGCTTGCAGTGTGGGGTGCGGTTTGGGGTGAAAACCACAGCTAAGGAGGGATGGGATGGGAAGAGTTGTGTTAACCTTCCATGTGCTGAACCCCTTTTAGAAAACAGGCACAATTAACCCTGAAAAAAGCCTCCTATTAACTCCATTAGGAAGCTCCCCCCCCCCAAGCCTAACTCCAATGCAGAGGGCAGTTATCATGGTGTGTGCATTTTTGTGTATACAGACGTGTGTGTGTTTCTGTGGTGTACATGTCTGCCTGTATGTGTGCTTGTATCCCCACCTGCCTGCAAACCTGCATGCGAGTGTGTGAGAGAGGGAGGGAGGGAGGGAGATGGTAGGGTGGCCCTGCCCCCTGCCAACCCCAGCCCCATCCACCTTGGCTTGGCCACAATCATGTCTGTTTCAGTCCAGACCCACTGGCATCCTTCTTGGGATGTGTTCTTTCCTTCACCCTTGGTTTAGAGGAGCTCCTTGCTTCATTTGAACTAAAACACACCATGTCATGAGTCCTGTGGGATGGTCTTGGCAGGGCTGGTCAGAGTGGGGAGGAGGAATGGGATGCGAGTGAAGAACTGGATTCTGGGAAGAGACTCAGTGGTCTGTGAGGTGCTGGTCTACATACTGCGGAGTTGAGTGGTAGTCAGGAGAAACTCTTGTCTCAGTGCATCAGATGTTCTGGCTCTGAGATAGAGCCACCCAACTTGACTCCTGTGCCACCTCCTGTCAGTGAAGTGCCCCCTGTCTCTGGGGAGACACCTGTGACTGTGCCTTAGCTTACACCCAGTTTATGTCTTAGGCCTCTTCTGTGAACTTCTGAACAGTGCATCTTGCAGTCTGATTTATGAATATGTATCTGAATGCCAGTTGCTTAGAATCACAAGCGGGGAAGGCACTTGTAATGTAAAAAATTACACGTACCTTAACTACAACAATCTCTAAGCTGTTTACAAATACAGTGGTACCTCTGGTTGTGAACGGGATCCGTTCTGGAGCCCCATTCACAACCTGAGAGGAATGCAATCCGTGTCTGTGCGTGCACGGATCGTGATTTGCCGCTTCTGCGCATGCATGTGACGTCATTTTGAGCGTCTGCGCATGTGCAAGCAGTAAAACCCAGAAGTAACCCTTTCCGTTACTTCCGGGTCGCCACGGGACACAACCTGAAAAGATTTAATCCGAAGCGTCTTTAACCCGAGGTATGACTGTATATGATACGAAAAAATGAAAAAAATAACTCAAAACTATAGAAACATACTGGGACGCGGGTGGCGCTGTGGTCTAAACTACAGAGCCTAGGCCTTGCCAATCGGAAGGTCGGCGGCTCGAATCCCCACGATGGAGTGAGCTCCCATTGTTCGGTCCCTGCTCATGCCAACCTAGCAGTTCGAAAGCATGTCAAAGTACAAGTAGATAAATAGGTACCGCCCCAGCGGGAAGGTAAACGGCATTTCCGTGTGCTGCTCTGGTTCACCAGAAGTGGCTTAGTCATACTGGCCACATGACTGGCTCCCTTGGCCAATAAAGTGAGATGAGCACCGCGACCCCTAACGGTCAGGGGTCACTTTACCTATAAA